GAAACACATTTCAAAGGACCTGTCTGCCCTGCCCACCTTTATTTTCCCACGGGAGTCAGCCAATGACGGTTACTAAATCCTGTCTTTCCCACTAAACAACTTTCTATTTGTGAAGCAATCCTTCGACATACTGAGCTCATACTCTTGTGTGGATTTTTGGGACATGGTAGAAAATGGCTGTAAGCACCTTCTGTCTTTTTGATGTGAGTGAAGCACGTTTATCTTGAGGCATGTATTCAACATTTTCAGAGGTTTGCTTGTAGCTCTGCCAAAATGAAGTCTGAATTTCAAACTAAAAATCGTTGGCCATCTGTCTTGTTTGTATCGAGCCTGTGTCTGCACCTCTATCTATAGTTTAATATACATAATAGAAATCTTATCTTCTGAATAAGTGCTTTCTCTTGTCTCATAATTAGAGCTATTGATATTTTGAAACACTCAACCCTTCCCAGAAAATGCTGTGCATCTTCTGCCATAAGATGAACCAATGGGGCTTTTCCTGTGAGCTGAAGAGACATCTTGTGGCGAGGAGAAAACACTTGTCATTGACCAAGGTCACTGATAAAACATGGCCATGCTTCCTTGAAAAAGACAGCCGTTTATCATTTTAGCTTCCAGACATAAACAAACTCTGTGATTGGATAAGTCAAGGTAAGACAAAATGGTCATGAGCTTTGTTTAACATGCCAATAATGCATAATATACAATCTACACAAGCTTTTTACTTGTGTTTTGCTGATTCAAATATTATTCAGCAGCAGGCAATGAAGCGCAATAAGCCCAAGTTTGTACTTTCATTAAAAACAAAGGAAGGCACAACTTTCAAAGGACTTCTCATTACACAAAATCAGGAATGAGACTCCTAAGTCAGCTTTCCTAACATGCAGTGTAAAGAGATGAAACGGCCTCTTTCCCCTCAGCTGGCTGTCATTATCGCAAATATTTCAGCCATGTTTCCACCTGGCAAGCCTGAAACCACAAACAACAAAGGCCAAACTTTTCTACAAATTCAACACTTTCTATTGATGCTGGAGCCAGACTACCTTTAATAGGCCGTGTTGTTTGTTCACTTGAAAGTAAATGTCAGGACACAGTGCATGTGTGTGTGTGTGTGTGAAAGAAAAGAAAAAGCAGCATCCGAGGTCTTCCAGCTGAGCGACGTCACGCTCAGCTGGAGCGAATGTTTACCAGCATCAGTCTGTACCACCCATCACACCACATACTGTTGAGTCCCTGCGAAACCTACTCTCTGGTTTCCGATGGTCACAATTAGTTCAAGTGTGAGATGTGACAGAAGGACGACACAGGAACAAGGAAGCCCAGCTGACCAGCTTCAGTTTGTCACACAGTGCAGTTTCTCCTCTTCCTCCTGCCTCTTTATCGTGCCTAAAGTGGCACAGATGACTGCTTTAGAAAGCACAAAGGCTCAGAGTGAACTCTGAATGTCAGAAACACAGACAGCCTTTCTGTAGTCTGCGCTGTGACGGACTGATTCTGAAAGTGCTGCCCCTGCAGGGCAAATGTCATCCCGATTTGTAAAGCTTGACTCCACAGAGCTGTAACTTTCTATTGCTAATAATCAGATTTAAAGTAAAGTAGGTCAACATTTATAAGATCACCTAGGAGTCTAGCTAACTTGCTCTGGATCCCAACTGGCTGGGAGAACAGAGAGCTCACTTTGGTTCTCAAGCATACAGCGTCTCACACAAGTTGGGGGAGCCGGTGCAGTGGCCATGGCAACCTTGTTCGAGCCACAACAAGAGGGGTTTTGTGCTGGTGGGCCACGTAGTTGAGCCCTACTGTGACTGGCCTCCTTTTTAGTCTCTTTCACACTGCCTTTGTCTATCTTTGTCTCTCTTTCTCTTGCATTCATACTCATGTACACAAACCAGTATTTTTATTTTTTTTTATCTGTTCCCAGGGTGCTTGGTGTCCCTGCATAGGGGAGTGTTTACAGGATGTTATCTGTGTCAGCGCTGGTCTCTCATCCCTCTGAGTGGGTTATTTTATGGAATGCTGGAACAGGATAGAGGAGTTGCAAAGGGGGAGTGACAAGAGCCTAGACAGAGAGAGAGAGAGGGAGAGAGAGAGAGAGAGAGAGAGAGAGAGAGAGAGAGAGAGAGAGAGAGAGAGAGAGAGAGAGAGAGAGAGAGAGAGAGAGAGAGAGAGACTATATATATATCCTAAGGAGGCTGGTGCTCACAGGCACAGCTGGACTACTGGATAACTGGACTGCAGCCCATTGGACATTTAACTAAAAAGGTGAGTTTTTTCATTCTTTTCTAATTATTTGTTGAGAATCTTCATCATTTATTATTATTTTAAAGAAAGAAAGGAAGGAAGAAAGAGAAACTCATTGCCTATATCCATATAAACATTTACATTTTTCATTTCATGCTCTCAACATTAAATGAAAATTTTAACTGGAATGCCACAGGTAGAGTGAGTCTTTCAGAGGATGTGGGCACTTGAAAAACCACATCCTAAGTGCGACAGAGCCGTTAAGTCTCCGTCGCACTTAGAGGAAAAACCGGAGTTTGATCAAGTGCCTGTGTGGGACTCGCCTTTTTCTCCTCTCTTTCTCTCACCAAAATATGTTTGATGTCAAAGAAGACTTTTTGGTTTTACAAGGGAGGTTATTACCAAGTAATTACCAAGATGTTCAGTAAATACTTACTCCCTGTTTTTGTTTTCCTTCATTAGAATGGAATCTAAATCTGTTATTTAATTCCAAATTAAAATTTTGAAAAGTTAATTTTTGTTGCTTGTCATTTGATTCTCATAGAAATGCACAAAAAAAATCTGTTGGTATGTTACCAAATGAAGTAAATCTAATTAGCACAGTGATAGGAAAGGCTGTAAAATGACACCACTGATCTCATCACTGCAGCAGTCACTGTGAGCTGATAAACTGTTGTTACATATAAACTTGTATTTTTGTGGTTTTTTACACAAAAGTAAATCCTCACAAATATTACATCTGGGTGCATTCAATTAAACTGAGGCTGTAATGAGGAGGGAAATGTGGTTGTATTACTGAACAAGTGCACTGGTGGGGGATTTTCTTCTCTCAGTCTTGGGTGTGCCTTTTTCTGAGCTCCAGGGAACTAGAAATTAGTTAGCTCATCTCTTTTGGGTATTTTACATAGAAAAATATAGAATCATCATCGAAGTAAATCCCCTTTTTTACCCATGTTGTGAACATCTGTGTTTGCTTTGGTTCTTGGCTATTGTTAGAGAAGTAAAAATGACATCCCAAAAGGCCAGCACTGCAGTGTTGCACAATATGTCCACGTCATAATTCATGAGTACACATACCATATTTGACATCTGTTCTGTTTTACCATCCATGACTCGTTTGTGTACTTAATTTTTTTTTTTTTTTGGACCTATGTCAATGCCACCAGGACTTAAAAACGAGTCCCTGTCATTAACTCGTGCTCTGAGGGCGCGGCCTGAAACTGGATGCCTACATGTGCTGACATGACCTGCTGTTTGCTTTTATTGTAGAGTTTGTTTGTCAGGAACATGTTCTTAGAGAACCTATTCCTGAGACTGCAAACACTCTCCTACACAGGAGCACCATGCATGCTGAGAAAGGATTGAAAACGACAGAGAGAGACTTTATGTTACTAATATTTGCTAAAATAAAGAAAAAGCTGAGCCATATTTTATCTGAAATGCTAAAAAGTCTCAAATCAATGAACTTCACAAGGGTTTCGTGTTTCTTCTCCTTTCAGGCACCAGCAAAGCCTTTGGAAATCCTTTTAGATTAGTTACTGTGAAACATATAGTTCAAAGATGAACAGTGTGGCAGACTGGCTCGTGAACAACAGGGACAAGATAGAGAAAGGTGTGGAGATCATGGGGCAAGCCTCTGAGGTGCTAGCTGCCACTGTGGGCCAGCTGCACCCCGTCTTGGAGGCCGTGTTTGTGGCCTCAGCCGAGCTGCTCAGCAACCCGGACAGCAAAGAGGCTCGCTACTTAACTCAACAATTCGAGATGGTGAACCAGAAACTTGAAGGAATCCAAGATGAGATTGATAAACTTGCCCTGGAGCTGCAGAGGACGTCGATGAACAAGCAAAACTTTGATCGAGAGGCACAGATGATCAGCCAGTATGAGAAGTTTCAGGTCTTTGTCAACGCCAAGCCAAAGTTCAAGGAGAAAAAGATGGAGAAATTCATCAGCCATTATGAGAGCACCGATATGGATTTAAACTTGGATGCCCTCTACAATTCTGTCACTGGGGAGAACACCTCAGGAGACCCTATGCTGGAAACTGTAGTTAATACAGAGCAGAGAAGCAGAAGAGCAGTGGAGGACTTCTGTGCTCGACTGAAGAAGCTTTTTGTGGTTGGCATTATCGCTGTCATGGGTTATGCTGCCCTCAAGGAAGGAGGAGTTGGGGAGGAGATGGTGAAGAAGTGGCAAGGACGAATGGAGGAAGTGGAAAAGCGAATGAAAGCAGCTGTGGATGACTGTACAGAGAACTTTGCCACACAAGCCAAGGTGGACATAGAGCATCTAGTTCAGGAGAACCCGGGCACTGCTGACCAGAACTTCACCAACACCATCTTGGATGCTCTTGCTAAGAAATACGACTGGGTGAACTGGTCCATCAGGGCCTTTAATGACCGGGAGCGCATTTTCTTTTTTAACTGGCTAGCTGGAAAGAAGTACCATGGAAGTGGGGGAGCCAACTGGTTTGACCTTTTGACCAAGAACAAGATCAAGATTGTGGTCTCTTTCTGTGTCAACCCCAAGCCTATTAACAAGAGTCAGATCCAGGAGAAGATTGAGCAGGAGAAGTTGAAGGGGAACATGATGGCAGTTGCTCTGTCTTTGAACAAAAGCTTCCCCAACTGCCTGGTCCATGCTGTCAGCCATTACAAGGCAGTGGTGCAGTCCACCAACTTCCAAGAGGATTGTTACTACTTTGGAAAACACAAACGAGCGTACTTGTGCATTCATCCTGAGTAGGCCAATGAAAAATGTAATGTGTACCTTCTTATTGATGAATTTATGAATGTCTTTATCAGAGACTTGAAAATATCTCCATTCAATATAGAAATGTATTCCTAAATCTTGCCTCTGTTGATGTGTAATCAGCTCTGTCTGGGTTTTGCTATGTGACCCATTGTCTAATGCAACAATTTATATTCTTATACATACATATGTGTAGCTTTGAGGTGAGAAAATTCAGAGCCAGATGTGTCCATGCCAGCTTTGTCTTAGCATTAGGGTCGTGAATCTGTTCCCACTGAATATTAGCCTGCTAAGGGTGGATGACTGAGAAATATGTGTTTGTGAGCTTTCAGAGATTTTAAGATTATATGTGAAAATCTACCCTTGGAAAAATGCTGGCTTTGGATGTTCTGAAGATGACATTCGTGACTATCAAAACTGGGTTTGGATGGGATTATTAGTCAGCGACTTGGTTCTGAATAAAAAAAATATTAAAGAGGTGTTCAACAATTAAAAGAATAGTTCTACATTTGGGGGAAATGTGCATATTTGCTTGCTTGGCCTTCGATTTCTATATTAAAAATCGAAAGAGAAATCCGTCCATTCATTTTCTTCTGCTTGTCCCTTGGGCCTACCTCAGCTGTCACAGGTGAGGGCCATGGTAACATGGATCACCGCTATATCAGACAGAGATATATTCATGCTGAGAACCACTTAGAGTCACAATTATGTGTACTGTGGAAGGAAGCCAAAGCACTCATGAAGGCTTTAAGAATGATTTAAGTTCACATTAGAGCAGTAGAGCTCGTCTAATCCCAACAAAACAATCAAACAAACAAAAAATAACCACTTAAAAAAATTCAGGTGCCCTGTTATAAAAAGATAAGATAACCTTTGTTAGTCATACAGGTGGAATTTTTTTTGTTTTGTGTGTGCACAAATGACTAATACTGTGGTAGATAGTGCAATTAATATTACCCTCTCTCCAAATAAAAGCCTATTTTAAAAAAATCAAATATTTTGCTGTGTTTGGTGCTGTGTGGGAAACCTTTCACATACGATTAATGTTTTACTTTTATCCTTAATAAACTAAAATTACGGATATTTTGTCATCCTTTGTTATCGTCGTTAATCTCTTATTTAAAGGGTCGTGTTGCGTTCAAACGAACTCAGTCAGATTAGCTCTTTAACGGTTATAATGCTGTAATAACATGCCTTTGTTTATTAGATGGGTGGAGGCCGATCTGTATACAATATCAACAACAGACTATTATGCTCACAACTGATTTTCCCTCCACCACCCAGGATTTTTTTCTTTTTTCTTGTACTTCTTCTGGGTTTGACTGGGTGTGTCTGCTCTCTGTAACATGAGAGCCACATGACCAATAGGAAGGCAAACAGTCTGGAAGTTAGAGTTCTTCCGCAAACTTTATGAGGTGAGTCCGTTTCTCTTGAAAATGTTTCATAGTGGACAGGCACATTTTAACTGCGTGTGAGCAGAGACATTATAAGGGTCCTGTGGCGGTAGTGTTAGTGCTGATGAGTGGAGGATCGATTCAGCTTAATCGACTTCATGCCACTCTCGTTACATAATCGAGCTGTTTTTTTTTTAAACCCGCTTTTTGTTCACTGCTGTTAAAAGTCCTCGTATATTTTGTTTTAATAAAGCGGAGTGGGTGATTAGACGAATCTGCAAAATTTAATGCAGTTCAGGCAAAACTTTTATGGGCGTTGGTTGCCAGATCTGGTGCCGCCGCTTTACTTTTTCCAGGAAGTGCTTGTTTTTTTAATCCACTGACGCGGCTGCGCTGTAACGCAAACCTAATCTGTGGTGTGAAGCTGCTGTGTTTGTTTGTTTCTCTGCCCATCAGATGTAAAACGATACAATTACAACCCTCGCGCGCGGACTGATCGATACTTCATCCATTAAGAGAGCGCATTTAACAGAGCGTTAAGTTTTTTCCCTGCTCAGTGGTCAGACTGAGTGGTCAGCTGTCAGATGGAGGGTTTGTTCTACTGTCCAAATGAAGCTGGCACTAAAGTCAGTGCAGATAGCGCATGCGCGTTGTGCGATTCTTGCCACTGCACAGATCCTCATATAAATTTGCCATTGGCATATCACAGTGTTTAAATTCTGCACAGTAATAATAGATGAGAAGAAAACCGTCACCCTGGCTGATATTTTTATTATATTGCTCTTTGAGACCGTATCAACGCATAAGCAGCATATTATTGGTCAGTTCAGTCCTGAGCTGACAGAGCCTCTCCAGTGGGTCACACACAACTGAAAAGTCATCATAGTATTAATGTAATACAAAAAAGATAAGGACACTTTTATAATGTTTGCTGATTTGTAGAATATACTGTATTTACCCTCCTCTTTGGTCTTTGAGTACTTAAAAAGGCAAATTCATGTTTGTATAACTGTGACCAACTTAAAGATACCTGAAATGTAACTAAATAACCCAAAAATCACAGAAATCATTTTGCATTTTCTTTAGATTTTTAGTGTAAAAGCTTGATCTGAAAAGCCCTGGAGTTAGAAAATATACTGGTCAAATAGGAGCAGCAGAAGAATGACTAAAACAGCATCTAAATGGCAGTACACAGACTGCGGTGTGCATCTCTGTTATGTGAGCCGCAGCAGCTCTTTGTCTATGAAAATGTGATTTCTTTAAGCACTTTTATGTTTGAAGCATCTGCGTGGAGGTGTTTCATGCACTCAGACTGCAGTTACAAAACCCACGAGACCCCGAGAAGTAGCGAAACCGAGAGATAACATCAGTGGAAACATTTTTTATGCTTAAATCAAATGAGATGCAGTAACTGGAAATGCTCTAAACCCCTGCTGGAATTTCCTACTTTGCTGTTTTTCTTAATTTTTAGAACAAAATTGCACAAATATAACATCCTACATATGTTATATTTGAGAAACAGCCAAGTGAACAGCCTTCCCGTTTCCTCTTTGCTTTCTGGGTTGCTGAACATATCATATCCTTTATATCACTTTTTTTGTTGAAGAGGTTTGTGTTTGTTTATTCACAGGTGTGGCACTTTGAGGATAGAGTTCTTGTGGAGAGTTAGATGAAATTAATCATATTTCTCCACAAATATGAAGCAACTGATTAGCTTAGTTTGTCATAAAGACTGGTAACAACATGTCTGGCCCTTTCCCAAAGAATTCTTGGCCGGGAGCAGTGACTTTGACTCCAGGCCAAAATGTAGCCAATAAAACATAGCTAAACCCCAAATTCTTTTGCGTTTAAGTTTTTGTATAAATTAATCAAACAAGATGAACATTTACTGGGCACTTTATTAAGTACAAGTGTAAAAATCTAATGCAATCCAGTGCAACAGCTTTCCCCTCAAATAAAGTTTGAATGTGTTCAGTATTTGCTGACATTGTCAAAAAGGCAATATGTCTTTTTTTATATATTACTTAGGTTATAGTCAGAGATGATTACATCTAAGTTTCTTTCATTTCCACCACCCGTTGTGCTGGTTATAACGTTGTTTTATTGTGAGAGGATAGCTTCTTATCTGCATCCTGCCAAGAAAAACGTAGGTGTGTTTTCAAAAAAGGCCAAACTATTCCTTTAATCTGTGTTCAGATTTGCTAAATTCTGATCACCTGTCTAGACATCCTTCGTGCTGGTGTCTGATAGCTGCAAAGGTGTGAGATGCATCAGCCTGAGAAATGGTGCTATCTACTGCAGTTTAGCCACATACCCCCCCCTGGGACAGACTTGACCTCAGCAGAAAGATAAATGAGCCTACAGATTATTTTCCATTGTCTTGTTGCCGTGGTAACTTGCTGAGTTTCACTGGAAAACGCACCCTCGCCCAGCAAGTTTAACCTCTTTACGCTTAATCACTTCCCACGCCTGCTGCTCTGATATCGACTGAGGAGAAACAGCACTGCTGCTTCTCACTCAGCTCCAAATGAAACACACCATGTGAACAAGACCAGAAAGCTGAACTGAAGAGTGTGACGGCAGATTCTTTACCGAGAGCTGCAAAATAAACAGTCACAGTGGACTGTTTTTTTTCCACACAAATGAAAGTTTCTCCCAAAATTGCACATTTCCAGATTTGCACCAAGGACATGTCTGAACATGCCCAGGAAATCAGTTGTTAGTGTTGCTCATGCTGTGAGTCCTGGAATTTGGAAATGTTCAGACTAAGACTTTCCAAGTTCAACAGGGATCGGGCTTTTAGGCTGAAATGAAGGGAAAACTTTTTCCCCCTGCATATCAATAAATGCCCAGCATGCTTTAATTTGTGGAAGGGCTATTGCCATCTTGAATTTAACCCTTGATTTTACTTGCTTGATTAGATTTAGGAAAAGTTCACTGCTTCGACAATGTCGAGTCCTGCATGTAGAAAAGTGAAGCCCATCCAATATATGAGACTAAGGGATTCTTTACAAGCCCTCATATGTCTGTCATGACCTGTTTCACTTCTATAAACCCAGAGCATCGAGCACACACACCTTATGTGTGTCGGTTAGCAGCTTTGGTGCTATGGCCATTTTTAACGCTTTGGAAATGACAGACTTTCAGTACTCAAAGTGAAGCTTTCAGAAATATCACACCGTCTTCCTTTCGTTCAGCTTTTATGGGAACTGATCTGTTGCCAGAAGCTCATGAACTGTCCTGACTTCACGTGTTACACTTTTAGAGACTTCCTGATAATTTTGGCCTTGAGTTTTCAGTTTTTCCATACATGTTTTCAGTCTTTATGTTAAGCTAAGTTGCTGGCTACAGCTTCATTATAATGTTGAATCTATTTTATAATTTAACCCTTTGCAAAAAAGGCAACAAAATAATGGATTTCAAACTCTTTCTTAGGCATTTAATTTTACTTTTAACTTGGAAAACAGCCCATTGAACAGTGTGACTTAAAGAGGAGATAGTTGCATTTAACAGTCCAAGTACATAATTTAGTTCCACATGCTTTTATTCTCTGCAAGTTTGCCATGGTAAGCATGTGAGCTCTGTGTTTCTCCGTTAGGCTTGGCTTGGCGTGGCTTGAAACCAGTCAGTGCTCCTCCATGTTCTCTTTGCATAATAGTCACTCTGTTGAGGAATAGCTGTTTAAGTTGAATGTAAATGTAAATGTTGAGCAGGTACATTTTACCTCCCAGCGGTTAACATATGAATAACATGCAGCAGTTCAGCCCATACCAGTCCTCCGTCATTACTGAACTCTCTTGGCATTGTTGAGTCATTGCTCATTGGGTGTGACTAGCAGCCAGCACTGAAGCTCACTTGGCTGTTTCTCTCTTTCCTTATCAGTGTTTGCTGCGTAGTAAGAAGCACAAGGCCTACAGTCTACAGTCCAACAACACTGGAAGAGAGCTGTAAGTAGAGTTAGAAGACCAACAACCGACCCCTCAATCTCTGTTTTACTTTGACTGTTGTTAATATTACAAGAGGATCAGTTCTGACTGTTTCTAAGAATGTGATTGTTTTTCTTCGGTCTGAGACAGACGTCAGCAAAGATGGCAAATCCACTACAGAAGCTTGTGTCTGAGAAAAAGGACATGGTGGAGACAGTGATGGAAGTGTTTGAGCAAGGAGCTGAAGTGGTGGCCAGCATCGCCGGTGACCTCTTCCCCGTCTTCTCCATCGCAGCCCCGATTGTCAAGCTGGCTCTGGACAACGTGGAGAGCAAAGAGGCCGCATTCATGAAGGAGCAGTTTCAGAAGGTCAGAGATCGGCTGGATGTAGTGTCTGAGGAGCTTCAGCGGATCAACGAGGAGATCAAGAAGAGCGGAGTGGATTCTACGTACTTCCCCGTTGAGGAAAACATTACTAATCAGTTCAGGAAGTACATGGACATCCTCAACGCCAAACCTAAGTTCCGGGAAGTGAAGAAGAAGCTCTTCCTGGAGCATTTCGCCAAGACCGGAGGCGACAAAAATATTAACACCCTATACAACGTTGTGATGGGAGAAAGTTTCTCTGGGGAACCTTTGCTCGAGATCATCCTTAACTATGAGGAGAAAAATCGCCGGGTGATGGAAGACTTTTGCGCCCGTCTGAAGAAGCTCTTCTGCATTGCGCTCATTGCACTGCTGGGCCACGCTGCTCTGAAAGGATATGACGAGGAGGACGATCTTCTGAAAGAGTGGGGTGAGAAGATGAAGGCTGTCCAGGGTAAAATGAACGCTGTCATTGAAGACTGCATCGTCAGCTTCCCTAAACAAGCTGAAGAAGACTCCCGACGACTGGTGAGAGATCAGCAAGATTTAACCAACCAACAGCTAGCTGATGCTATGGTAGAGAAGCTGAAGAAGAAGTATGACTGGGTGGGCTGGTCTGTGCGTATATTTAAATCTCCTTCAGGCCTGTTTGTCAACAAGAGGGATTTCCAATGCGCAACGGGAAAGAACCGCTTCCAAGTGCCTTCATCGGATGAGAAACTGAACGTGTGGGTGTCCTACAGCTCCTCGCCTGAGCCTGTGGACAAGAGCCACATCCAACAGCTGATCCAGTCTCAGAAGAAACTCACAGTGGTTGGGGTCGCTGAGTTCCTGTTCGAGAAGTTACCCGGCGACTGTGTGGTTCACACAATCAAATCCACCAAAGACCTGGCCTGCTCGTGGAGCTTCGAAGATGAACTTCACTACTGGGAGGAGCACAAAAACTTCTACGTCTGTGTTCACTCAGCTTGATGTTTTAGACACTGAACAAAACTCCAAAAGTCGCTCATTCTGTGTTTGTGTTTGTTTGTGTACCACATCATCATTTCTGCACAGATAATTGGTGCACCTTCATCTTTAACCTTCATCTTGGTTGCTCCTCTGGGCAGTTATTTTGAAGCCCTTATCTAAATGAATGGGTACAAAGCCAGATTATTTACTTCAGTGGTCATTAGAAGATAAAAAGACGTTTCTTTCAAAAGAACGGTTAAAGTGATTTGTTCTCAGCAGTTATGCTTCTACTAATGAAAAGTTTGATAATGTTACAACTCATTTAATTGCTCCGTCTGGAGTGACGACACAATCAGTCGCTGTTCATCTCACCAGCACATGGAACAGACATTTTGCATATATAAAAGGAGAAGACATGTTTAAACAGTTACAGTGGTCATGAATATGGCTAATATGTTTCCCAGGTGTTGATTAGGGTCAAAACATCTGCAGTCTTTGCCATTAAGGAATTTCATAGACTTTCATAGATTTGTATTCACGATTCTTGTAGTACCAGTGTCTGATATTATACATATATGCCTTCCCAAACTGCACTTCCACAATCATTTTTTTATGCTGAAATGTTCTTTTTTCTGACATTTATCCACAAGAAGTTCACATAAACTAGACTGGAGAAAAGGCACAAAGAATTGTGAAAACAAAAATACAGAGAAATGAAACAGCAAACATGGTGGTTGATCCACGGCTGAAATGTAGTGGAGCGTGATGTTCCACAGTTCAGGTTCATGATTGTGCTTAAATTGTGTTGTGGGAGGCATATTTTTTTGTTATCTAGTAAAGCTATAGGTAAGTGTGCCATTTTCCTTTTTTTCCTGCTAACTCCAAGCATAACGATAATAAGTGTGGTATATGTGTCACCTAAAAAAGCTTAAAAGTTTTTTAAAAATTATTTTCGGACAAAATTCCCAAACTCAGGAAGCATTTTCTTGCTTTCCCTTGACCACAGAAATGAATCCTGAGGCTGTCATTCTGTTCAGAGAGAAAGGTTTCAAAATAGCCCAAATGTGCCTGAAGGCGTTGCTAAGGTGGCTGCAGAGTAGTAAGACTTTTTCCAGCGTTGACCAAACACAGCTGAGCTTTGTTTCTTTCTCAAGACAGATACAAGTGCTCACCTCTTGGCTTACTTTGCATTAGTGTAAATTGTATCATTTTTTATGAAAGTTGTGGGTTTGAAAATTTTTACAGAAACGTTGCCAGGAGCTAATCAGCTAATATTTTCCACTGTTATGAAATTTGGGAGGACGTGGGACTTTGTTGTTACGGTTCATCTGTCACAGAGAGATTGTGCTGGTGCTGATAAGTGCTGACGTCGCCCTGTTGAGGACATCTACACCAAAGCATTTGAGAGAAAATGATTCCAGGCAGAGAGACTGAAATGGAAACTAATCTTGTTCTCAGTTGGTGAAATAATAATAAATGTCTTCACTTGAAGCTGTACAGCACACAGCACAAGAGCTCACAAAAGAAAAGGGCTCAGTTTTTATCCACACACCCTGTTACTGACATGCTGAGGTGCTGTTTTGTTTACAGACAGGTGCCTAAAATATTCTTGTGTCACAATTTTGCCTGTGAGGTTGTGCAACATAAACTGGAAGTTTGAACGTACTCAAAACCCGACCTTCACTTTGTTGAGGGTATAAACAGTTTTGGGTTTTTTTTGTGGGATCAATCTTGGGTTTTGGATATGAAATTAATAGATTTTTATTTAGATTTTAATACATAAATTGTATAATCTGACCACTATATGGACTCTACTTTATAAGGACAGTAGCAGCTGCTCATAGTTTTCCACACCACTATAACCAATCTGTGTTTCTTCTGTTTCTTTATTATTTTATGTTATTATATACGTCTAATAAATTCTACTAATTATCAATAAAATTGTATGCAACACCGATTTGAATGTAAAAATGATTGACAGAAAATTCTTATGTTGCACATCTGTGTCATATTATTTCCATACAGTGTTTTGGGGGAAATTAGTGTCTCAGATCAAATTTTATGCACAAAAAGCACTGAATGTAATAAAGCTTCCAAGTAAACATAATCATGCATCTTTTCTTTGTTTATCATCATTAATTTCTTGCAGTTGCAGTTTGCGTGTTCGTTATAAGATCCAAACTGTTTCTAACTGGAAAATGTTTTAATCTGGGATCGTTTTGGCTAATTAGTGTTAAGTTCTACAAAATAATTCAAGACCTGATTTACTACTAAAACAAACAACATTATTTATTGACTCCAATGTTGTCAAGACATTTATTCATCAGAATATGTGTCTGTTACTCAAACTTTCTATATTTTTATTGAATACTTTGCTGATTCTTGAGGGTGAAATCTCACTCAAAATCTCAATTAAAAAGTCAGCATCAGCAGCAGAGTGGCTCCAGCTGACACTGGTACTTCAGCGGTCATTCGTACTGCATTTGTTGTAAAAAACAAACAAAACTTGTGCACTGAGCTATTTGTTTTGTACTTTAAAAAAAATCAACTTGATAAAGACATCCTCAAATTCAGTCACTAGTAAATATGAAGATGTGAAATCAACATTTGACTGGTCCACAGAATGAAATGTGAAGCTGAAACACAATCACCAAAAAACACCCTGATAAAAGTTACAGTTTTACCTCGTTCTAATCACAAATGTAAATTAGAGAATATTTATCAATCTTATCAAAAAGTCCATAAATTTTGATCTTAGAGAATCTGCTCTGAAGCTCCAGCTCTACTAAACTTGATGCAGAGATGAAGCCCTATTCATTAAATGTGATAAGTAATTGCGTTATTAGGACAAACCCAGTGATCTTGACCACTGCATTCTATATCTTGGTATGGAATAATTTCATCACACCAGCCAGTCCATCCATTCATTTTCTTCCACACAGGGAGTTAAAGCCTATTCCAGCTACAAAAAACAGGAGACATTGTGCACAGGTTGCAAGTCTGTTGCAGGGCTAAAATAGACAACCATTCAGACAGACGGAATTGAGCATCAACCTAACCCAACTAACTACATGTCTTTGGACTGTGGGAGGAAGCAGGAGTTCCTGGAGAGAACCCACACAGACACGGGGAGACACGGGAGAATACACCAGCTGGCCATCTGCTGACGTAACTACCGTGCCACCGTGCTACCTCCACACCAGTCAAGATCTCAGGTAAGCAGCAGAGAGAGACCTTCAGTTATCTAGAAAGAGGAAAAGAGGTAATATTACATAAAATTCTGCCCCATTGAGACTGAGTAAGATATTTAACTCTCAGCTGTTCTGTGGCTATTTTACAGCTTAGAAAAAAAGGAAGGATATTATGGTTTTCTAGTTTGGAGACACCCAAAGTGCTCTGTAATTATGTGGTTGTGGCTTTTCTATCTTCGGCATATAAACACTCATGTCCCAGCAGTCCTGCAACGCATTGCACTGTGGGTCAAGTGCCCCAGCAGAAATGAACAAGTGCAACAAAATTCCAGTGTGTCAACGAGATATTTATAGAGTTTAAAAAAAATAAATAAAATGAGTAAATGGAAACATAAGGAGTGTCACAATATATGATGCTTTACGCTTATTTTAATGGTTTAATTGAGGGCTGTCAGAAACATTTTAATAATTTATAGATGAAGGAGGAGGAGGAGGGGACCAAAGACAGACTGAAGTCCAACATTCAAATCTTTAATCAGTAATCTGAAAGTCTCAATGATTTTTGCTTAGCAAAGTGGGAAGCCATGGAGAACTAAACAAAAACTAGAAGTAAAACTAATGTGAAGGTGAGTGATTTCAAAACAAAATGATCCAAGAAAACAGAGATGAAGAACCATTACCAACTGCTAAAAAATGAAGCCCCCACACAAGTCCAAAAACCTGCAGTTCCTCCAGTGTCCACTTGAGGTTGGCTCCAAAACTGAGTCAGTCCCCCACAGACTCCTGTGTTAAACTGTTGAACTTTACAATAGAAAAACTACCTTACAGGGGAACATCTCTGAAGAAGACAGCTCTCATTAGGGGTGCAATCTGGGACTCTCCACCAGCCGTTTTAAAACTGAAGAAGCAGCTTGGATGAAGGCAAAACATCTACAAAAAACAAACGAAGACTACTATTACCTCAATGACTGAGATCTTAAACAGACCAACTGGTGTCTCAGTCCTGTCTGTATATACATCTACTCTTTATCTTTTTTACGTTCAAGGTCGTGAATTTAATACGAGCAAGCTTCAACAGACTTTGATAGTAAAATGAACGGAGAGAAGACAAAAGGATACAAAGAAAAGTTTAAAGAAAACTCAAACAAAGCAACTGATGCAGCAAAATTATACACAACACTGCCTGTAACTTGGATTTAAAGCTTATAATATAATTTAAAAAAAGGTCATGGGAGAAAATCAGAAAGCAGAGAGAAAACTATAATTGCAGCAGGAACTTTATAATAAATTTGGAGGGCTCAGATTTTCTTTTGTTTGGCTCTATTTACCAAATCTGACATAAGTAGCAGACGGGGCCTGTTGTCAGGATACCTGTTTGCCAATGGAACAAGACTGAGACAGAAGGAGCTTAAACTTTCCCTCTGCTTCTTAGCAAACCAAATCTCTCTTAAGTGTTTTCCAAATTTCCACTGGCAATGGACTCTGTTACATCAGTGAGCTGAGACCTCACAGTCTGCTTCATCAGCAACTTCATCAGACAGTAAAGCTTTGAGAAAATGAGCCTGAAAATGATCAACATGTACTGAAGGGTTGGCCTCACAACAATAACATATCTCATTTTACGTTGACCTCGAAAACGTGTTAGCAAATAACTAACAGACTGCACTGAAGGAGATATATGAAATATCAGCCCCAGTGGTAAATGGGGCTGATTTAAAAGCCGTTTAGTAAATCCGACAGAAACACAATAAAATCATCATTATGATTCTCATCCAGTGAATGCAAGCTTCAGTCTTTGCTCTGTACTAACTACTACTAACTACTGACTGAAATGTCTGGACCTTACAGATATGCTCATTTACTCCTTGCTAACTGTGGCTGTCTTCTTCTTCTGCTGTTAAGCACCTGGCTGGCTGCCTGTAGGGGCCCACAATCAAGCTAAAACAGCAAAATGCAAACTGAGAAATGCTTACGCTGTTGAACTAGCACAACTGAGCTGAAAGAAAATGAATTGCCTTAATTCTTTAGGTTCATTGCTACAGGTACTCCTTAAAAAAGGCACATGAAGATTTATATATGCTTACCAGCCACTTTATAAGGTTAAACTTGGACCTAGTTTTTGCTTTCAGAACTGCTTTAATTCTTTGTGGCAGAGATTCAACAAAGCGTTGGAAACATTCCTCAAAGATTTTGGTCCATATCGACATGATAGCATCACACAGTTGTTGCAGATTGGTTGGCAGCACATCAACAGTGCAATCCCCCAGTTTCACCACATTTCAAAAGTGCACCATTTGAGTATATCGTTGACTAATTTTGTATGTTCAAGACCTCCCTTCTCACCCCACATCTCCTTATCACTAAACTAAACAGCATAGCTAGCATGTATGCTGAAGCATTTAGTAACAAAAGAACCAGATATGTCTTTTATAGGTAGGTGCAGACCAAAAACTGAGCTAAAAGAAAGTAAAACTGGACATATTCATCATGTGGACAGAAACACAACTCCAAAAGAACAACTATATGCAAAGATTCAAATATTTGCAAATAGAATTACTGCAAAAGGCATTTCAAACTGTATCCATGACCTTTGCCTATTTTTCTAAAGTGGGCAAAAATGAAAAATATGTTAGTGCAAACAACTACACTGTATTTTGGGGGAAGTTTACAACTTGACTTGACCAATTACTATAAGGAGAATGATTTTATCGGTTCATTGGACAAAGATATTATAAGTAAAGACATCCAATATAAGAAATGAAAAAGACATAGTTATGCTAATTACTTTCTGAGGCAGTGATGATTTTTTATGAAACCCATATTAATCTAAACTTTTGCTACAAAATTATGATCGAAGCTCACAGTGGAAAACTGTTAGAAATAAATATTTTCAGAATCACAAGGAGCTTTTTGGCCTTACACTTGTGTTTTTTCACTTCTAGAGGCAAGTTTGTGTCTACGCCCAGGTAGGTTAAAGGGGCTGCTGACCCAAAACAGTTGAATAGGCAAAGTGATGCTTTTAATCAGACCAGAATTACTCTTCCATGAATATGATTTGGCCACACAGCCCTGCATTGAGGCTGAACCATCAGGTGATCTCAGGAACGCAGAAAAACATCACGTGGCCACGAAAAGATTCGCCCGACTTGCAGGAATACATTGTGCTGCTACCATCACCTCGGCATAACCCACGACTCTGACTTAATTCAGTCTCAATAGAAAAAGAGGACATTTTGGTTTTAATAAAAGAAAAAAAGGTCACATATTTTAGTCAGGTGGTGGAGCTCAGATGGTGAGTGGGAGGGGCTAAGCTCTGACATGCATCCTCTGCTTCAGGGTCCTGATTGCAGCTCAGTTGAAGATTCAGACATGAATATGTTGTATTTGTGTCATGAGACCCTGAAGCAGTGTGTCAACTTTAAACCAAGTGGGAGAAACTTCAAAGAAAATCCAATGAAGTTAGGCTGTTCCTTCATGTAGTTGATGTCTGAGTCCATGGAGTCTCATCTCCTTTAAGGGAAATCTTTGTGGGTCAGCTGCTGTCTGCAACGTCCAATTTTACTTTTCTTACTCAGTTTCTATTAAATAGTCTGGCAGTGGCTGGGTTAATGCTGATTAGTTTTACAGCTTATTTTACTTCAGAAGAGCCCACTTACTAGCATTAACAAGGTTGTGTTTAATCATCTTTTTCTGTGGGAGAAAATATCGGCTGTTAATGTCAGGCTGTGTAAAGTTTGTATAGCCTTACATTTTACCTAAACATGGC